TTTCTCTCTCTCTCTCTATTTTTCTCCCTCACACACTCTCTTTTTCCATCTACATGTCTCTGAAGCATCTACATGTCCCTGAAAGCTTTAACTCAATTTCTCTCTATCTCTCTCTTTATCCAAATTCATTATCCATTTCCCCTTCTTATTCTTCAATATTTTCGTCTTGTCATAATTTTTCTTATTATGATTTTTCTTTTTCTATTTTTTCGGTCTTCTTCTTCGTCTTTTCCTTCTTCTTTATCATCGACGTCAATTTTCTTTTTCCTTATTGTTGGGAAGAATTTAGTCACTTGGGCTTTGGCTCAGTATGATTAAATTCTAGAAACATCTAAGGCGGTCTGCAAAATACGCATCAAGGACTGGCCGCAGAAATCGCATGCAGCGATAACGTTCAGCGAAAAAGAAATATTCGTAATGCAAAAAAAGAGATAAGGATAAAGATGATAATTCCTACACAAAGGAGGAATAGGAAAACCTAAACACGAACCTTATAAATAACGGGGAGGAAGAACCCAACAGAGACATTGAAAGAGTTTACAACAGAGAGAAGTCCCAGCAATTCAAAGCGAGAACCCTAGCAGCAGCGACAACCGTCCTTAACCCTAGACCTCTAAGATCTTGACCGCTCGTTCTCTTTTCTGTTGTAAACGAATCATACTAATAAAAGATCCTCGATTGATTGATCTGTTTTCTCTTTGCGCATTCCGTAGGCTTGTTAAACGAATCACATATTTTACCCCGAACACTTATCTTTTCTTTCCTCTTTTTCATCGTCTACAACTTCTATTTCATTTTTCTCTTCTGATTTATCTTCTTCTTCTTCCTCTTTTGTTTTGTGCTACTCTTCTTCCTATTATTTATCTTTTGGTTTAGTTCTTGTTCGTATTTTTCTTATTCTTTTTTTTATTTGTCTTCTTCTTCAGTCTCCAATTTTAAAGCTTTTGTCTTTTTTTGCCCCAAATTCTTCATCTTATTTTTCATAATTTTCTTCTTTTTCTGCATCATCTTTGACTTGTAATTTTTTTTCTTCATCTTCTTTTTCCTCATATTTCCTTCTTCTTCTTCATCGTCTTTGACTTGTAATTTTCTCTCCTCTTA